CTTCTAATTAGCTTAATCATGCTGACACACAAAATTAAGAAAAATGATCTTGCTCAAAAAGTCATACAATAACTTAATTTGAATTTAAATCCATCGACATACTGTGTACAAACTGGAAAAGCGAATGTCTTGATGCCTTAGGCGGGGGACATCCGGCACTGATAGATCATTCCCAAAATGTAAGTATAGAATGCAGTAAACAGTTACATTCTCACCACAAGCTATTAGATAATTTAAAACCATTTACAAGCCCCAGTGAAATCTTCCCTGCTACAATTACTGTAAAACCATTTATATTCACTGGCATTTAATTTCCCTATTTTGATGATTAGAGCAATTTCACTGGGTTTTAAAGTTCACAAACGTAATAGGAGAAAAACAATAAGTTCTATTTCTATTCTTCATGTTCACGGTGATTTAATTTACGCTAATTATACATTTCAATGAATATAGCGAAATTAAAAACCAGCGAATATCTTATGTGTTTAAAATAATTCATAATTTTGTGCAACATGCAAAAATTCACACAAAACTAAAACATTTTAAAGAGCCATGGGAAAAGAAAAATGAGCAGCCACAGAATAACTCTGCTTGTGGTCAACCACGCCGCAACCCCTTGTCACTCGGACTGCTGTAACATGTGTTGCTACTTTACTGTATTCATTCAACAGCTTGACTACTGGCAATGTGTCAGCTCAGAGAAGCATTTTACATATTTCTATTTTTTTTTATTTTTTTTTTATGAATTTTATAATTATTTCATACAAACTTGTATACACTGTAAACAGCTTTATTCTCACAAGAGACAAATTTTCACAAGTTACTGTAGAATACTTTATTTTCGTTTGGAATTAATTTACGCTATTTTCACTTAAGTAATAATTCAGTGAAAAATAAAATCCATCGAATATACCTTTTTCCCTATATTTTAAATTCAACTCGTCAAAAATCGGTGGAAATAAATACCATACAAAACACCCAAAAAGTCTATTCAACGAAAATTACTCCCAGGTAAAATTAAGTATTTTATAGTAGTGAAAATCTTGGGATTGTTGGTAGTATGAGAATTTCTATGGGGTATCATGATATGAGGCATCCACGACATTCTAGTAATGACATCCCAAAAGTCATAATATTATCAAATCGCAAAAAATTCCTACAAGCAAAAATCGATACCAGTCATTAATAATCCCTTACAAAGAAATGGCATTTATAACCAAATATAGAGGTTACTGAGCATGATCTAAAGCGTGGATCACTGATTCTCCATTTTAGGGTTTTAAGTTATGTGCATTGCTGTGCAAATCATAGTACTGTAGGCCACTATAATTTTGTTATTCAGAAAACTTTCCCGTTATGAACATCATGAAATTTCAACCAGTGAACATTGCGTTTTGGGTCCTAAAAATACAAGAGTATTGTTGCATTAAATACAAAAAATTAAATATTAGCTTTTTCTTAGTAAGGCTTGAAAAAAAACATATGTTTTTTTGTCATCATTCTCTAAGACAAGCCTACGTCACAAACTGGTCAAAATCCCCTAAACATTGCCAGTAACCAATCACAGACTAGCTTAAACAATAGCTTTCCCTGACGATAATACTTAGCAACATTATTTCCCCCATGCTAACTTGAAAAATCTTTTGTTTTTGTCTCGTTTCCGTTTCCGGTCTGTCTTAGAGAATGCGGTTTTAGTGTTTAGTTTCCAAAATTTTAGAAAGACCAAAAATACATGTAAAAAGAACAATTTTAAAATTCATTTAAAAAAATGCATGCAGATTTCAAAAGCTAATTTGACTTTTTTTCGACAAACAGAAAGTACCGATAAAGATCAATAGTTTGTTTTGTTTGCATAGTTACATAAATAAATGTTCTGCTAACATTAAAGCAACATGCAGCAGGGTCACATCCATACACCAACCAGGTGGTACTGATAAGCCCAGGGGATTTAGGTTAAACACCTTGCTTCATTAGTTCCATGAGCCACGAGGCGGTCCTGGCAGCCACGATGTGCTAACGACAGTCAGGGAAGTATATTAATGGGCCTTGGAAACTCAATCCAAAATCGAACACGAATACGAAAATTGAAATTTGAAAGAACGCATAAAAAATGGAGTCATACTAGTAATACAAAAACAACCTCTGAAATCGCGGATGGTGAACCCCACTAAGATTTCAAAACGGTCAAACCAATCGACTGACTAAACATCGAAACTGAAATTGCACAACTATTTTCGACGATGAGACGACTATTTTTAATTTTATTAAATTCGATCGAAGGTTTCCAAACCAAAACAACAAACGAAACAGCTGTAGCTCTATTAATGACGATGGCGTCGGGGGAAAGACATAATATATCCAATGAAACCCGAAATAATCAAACACCTAACTAGTTATATAAAGGAATTCAAAGGTAGAGACATTTACATCTGTGAAAAATGACAACTTACATCAAAACACAGCTTCGAACAACATAGTGAGCGTCCGACCTGCTAATGACCCAGGTAGTGGTGAGTGACCAATATGTCACGTGATCACAAGTGAAGACCCGCTCGCGAGAGGGCAGTAGGCGGAAAATTACATTTCCGGTTATGCACCAACTACGATTCGCTGGTTCCCGGCCTCTGTCACCATATACAAGTATTTTTATTTCAGAATTTTCAACATTACAGTAACCCAAACCCTCTTGCTGTTTTTTCAGGATTTCTGAGTATCTATTTTTTTTTTTTAATTAGTAGTGAACAAATTTAATTGGGGGAAAGTTGCTAACCACAGAACGTCCGGTACCCGTTACCGCTGTTAGCTACAGCATGCATACCGCCGGCGGAACTTCCGGAAACAAACCACTTGACAACATAATCTGTTCCGCGGCGATGTAAATGTTAGTGAAATCATAGTCACTGGATACTTACGGCACATAATTCACTCGGGTTTCGCGCTCGTGCTTAAAATTACATAACCATTACGATCACGTGACCATGCTTTAACTCGTCGAAGATTGTGAACTACAAATGACAATTAAAACATCAGAACTTCTATCATGTGTTACTTCTGTTACGTGTTACTAT